GAAAAGGACATCACTCCCCCCTTTCTCTTTCTCTTGCATGTTTGACCCCCCTGACCCCTATACCCCCACGACTCACAACCCCCGACCCGACCCCCCACGACCCGACCCCCCACACCAAGGGAGAAATGAAGGAGAGTTAAAGCGTTGAGTTGATAGTGAAAGTGTGGTTAATTAGATGGTGAAAAAAAAGGTGAATGGATGGTGAAAGAAGATGGGTGGTGAAAGTGTTGCTGAATTATCAGTGAAAGTTTTAATTAATGAAAAGTGAAAGTTTTGATTAATGAACAATGAAAGTTTGGATTAATGAACAGTGAAAGTGTCGTTCATTGGACCACAAATCCACATTTTTCACTTATCAATAATGAAGTCTTACTATTACACTTAAATTATGTTGCTTCCTCTTTATCATTCATTTAACGAGGGGGCATTGGGCTTTCTTTTTTCTGCTACCTTTCTATTTCACTTTCTATTTGACTTATTTAATATTATCACTTTTCTTTATACAGGTCTCTTTCGCCTTACGAGTATAATTTAATACTTCTTTCTTCACTTTCTCCCACTTAACTGTCCTACTTTCCAAATTATCGAATGCAAGAAAGTACTACACCCCCTACCACTTTCCCTTTACTTTCTATCTCCCCTTATTAAGAGTAAGAGACTAACATTTATCCCCCCTTCCTTTGAATGTCCCTTCACTTCCTCCCCAAACTAGCGTGTGATACCACTTTCCCTAACTTTCTCTCTCCCTTAAAGAGAGAAAAAAGCTAACACCTTTCCTCACTTTCTAAGAACTTTCTTTTATTTTCTCTTTCTCCTTTAACCAGCGTAAGAATACACCTCGTTTCCTACTTTCTCTCCCCCTAACTTTTATACCCACTTTAACGAGTGTAAGAAGACACCACTTTCCTCTCACTTTCTCTCTCCCCCTCACTTTCTTTTTCTCTAAACGTGTGTAAAACGACACCATTTTCCCCTCTCTTATCTTATAATATAAAGTTAAAAAGGAAAAAAGGATATAGAACTCTACATCAGTCTTTCACCTAAGGTATAGTTGGCTGGGTAGAAAATCACTGCGTGGCCTCTTCTCCTGACGAAGGGGTGGAGGGGTAATGAGAAGGATGAGGAGAGAGAGAGAGAGAGAGAGAGAGAGAGAGAGAGAGAGAGAGAGATGACCATCTTAATAAACACGAGAGGAGAAAGAATTGGGTGTTTTATGATAGAGAAGAGACGGGGGGATATTAAGGAGGAATTTTAACAGGTTTATAAATGTTGGTTTATGACTTTAGGTGTTAACATAAAGTAGATATTCTAGCATGTTAATATACGTGAGTTATAGGTACTTAACATGGAGTAGAGAAGAGGGGATTTTAACATTATATTATACCGTATTTTAGGTACTTAACATAGGCTAGTTTAATGTGCTTAACGTGGAACAGAGAAAAAACATAAAAATATATTGTTTATGTATATTAAGTTGGGTGTTTACTTGGAGAGGGTGGACGGGAAGGGAAGGAAAATGAGTTGAGATAGTTTTATGTGGTGGAAGGGAGTGATGGTGCACTATGGGTTATGGTGTAAGTTTCACCATCCTGAAGAGTCAACGCTTTCACTACGACATCATAGTCACCATCTACACTCTAATTTAACAGACCATAACTTCAAGATTCACCATTAATTAACACCACCACCACCACTGTCACAATCACCACCATCAATAACACCACAACCACCATCACTAACATCACCACCACCACTGTCACAATCACCACCATCAATAACACCACAACCACCATCACCCACACCAACAGGAAGGCCAGCAATCACCCTCGTTATTTACCTCTCCCTCCCCCTATAAGAGAGTGATTGTTTATAATGGCGTAATAAGCCTTAATCATGAACAGTTCAGCAATACAGGAAGTACAGTATAACCTCTAATTACAGCTGTTTTGTAATAACACTTAATATGACAGAATTACATAGGATTTTGGGGGACTTGATATGAAAATGGAAAAAAAATATATATTCCTTTTGTTTATTTTTGGGTAGAATAAACTGGTTTTTTTTTCTCTATCTCTGACACAAACCTTCATCCCAAACGAGGCGTAATACATTGTTGTGAAATATATAAAAAAAAATCCTGGGTGTTTTAGTTTGGGAAATAAACACTATTTTCCTTCGTTTTCACACAGATCTATTTATCAGGTGATTTATTCTAAACTGCCAAGAGTTAGATTGAAGAAACAATTTATTAACGTAGTTGATTTTATATATATATTTTTTTTACCTTTATTCATACACAGTCGTTCATATCCTCGTGAATATAAAAAAAAGTAAAAAAAATGGTACGAATCTATAACGGAGTAATAAAATTAGACTCACCGTTTGAACATATCTCTAAAAAAAATATCCGTTTTCTCTTTGCACATTTCCCATAAAAAAAATCTTTGAACATTTGAACATTTTCCGTAAAAAAAAATCATTGAACATTTCCTGGAAAAAATATATGCCCACCTTTTGAACATTTCCTGAAGAACGAGAAATATGTGCATAATTTTTTTCACGGGAATATTTCCAGAAAATGGTGAATAATTTGAAGGTGTAATGTTTGGCAGCGTTTGGAGGGAATATTTAGTGTTTGGAGGCTGTGTTTAATGTTTGTTTGGAGGGAATGTTTAGTGTTTGGAGGGAGTGTTTAGTGTTTGGAGGGAATGTTTAGTGCTTGGAGGGAGTGTTTAGTGTTTTGAGGCTGTGTTTAATGTTTGTTTGGAGGTAATGTTTAGTGTTTGGAGGGAGTGTTTAGTGTTTGGAGGGAGTGTTTAATGTTTGTTTGGAGGGAATGTTTAGTGTTTGGAGGGAGTGTTTAGTGTGGTATGACCTTAAAGCTGACCGACTCCTACCTAGCTCTTGTGTGTACTCTGAGTAAAAACCGTGAGAGAGAGAGAGAGAGAGAGAGAGAGTAGTAAAGACGGATATGTAATGAGGGAGAAAGAGAGAGAAACTGTCTGAGGAAGGTAGAGAGAGATGGAAAGAGAGAAGAGAGAAATAAAAAAATATAGTTTGAGAGAGAAATATGAAATAGAAAGTGAGAGAGAAATATTGAGAGATAGAGAAATAGTAATGAAAGAGAGAGAGAGACACAGACAGCAGGTAGAGTGAGATAAAAATTGTAGAGAGATAGAGACAAAAGAAGACATAGAGACAATGGCTTAAATATAGACAGACAGACTTGAGAACTATTTACCTGTAATTAGAGGAAATAGTCTGTGAAAAAGGTTCATCTTTCCTCAACTAATTAATTCCTAGTACCGTTTGAGCTGTTTCTGGCAGCTTAATTGAGTTTATATGTATTAATTTATTATTATTATTATTATTACTATTATTATTCTTATTATTATTATTATTATTACTATTATTATTCTTATTATTATTATTATTATTATTATTATTATTATCGTTATTATTATTATTATTATTATTATTATTATTATTATTATTATTATTATTATTATTATTATTATTATCGTTATTATTATTATTATTATTATTATTATTATTATTATTATTATTTTTATTATTATTATTATTATTATTATTATTATTATTATTATTATTATTATTATTATTATTATTATTATTATTATTATTATTATTAGTAGTAGTAGTAGTAGTAGTAGTAATTATTAGACAAGACAAGTGATCGCGTGTACGTCTGTTATGCCGCTAGTTGTGTAATTTATTGGGTAAATTTATATACTTAATAAACATCTTTGTGCCCATTCTCGTCAGTGATTTGTATCGCTATTACGGTCTAAGTAACTTAAGAGGTAATGGGAGCTGACCAACTAGAGGTAAAAATATCAATACTATTCCACAGCAGTTTATTTTATGTTACGGTGTGACGGTATTAGTAACAGAAACACTGTACTGTTCTCTGTTACTACCACGAATATACACAGTGAAACGTTTTTTTTTTTAATCCCTGAGGCAGACAACAGGATCGAGTCGTAATAGGCTTGTCAAAGTTTTCCGCAGCTTATAAAGACAGTTGCATTCCGTCCGCGCCGCTGCTCTGCAATGCTGGATCACAAAACAATAGCGCATCGGGGTAGGGAGTGGGCAGGGGGTTCTCTGGAGCGCCCAACAAGTTTATAAGAGGATGGAAATTGGTCGTTATTGTGCGATTATTACTCTTGACATTTCTATAACCTTTGATGTTAATACACGGACAGAAGGGTGAAGCTCCACGTCGCTGCCCCGTGTAGCGCAGGGAGCGTTCCAGTGAACCGTGAAGACAAGTATTAGTCTTCTAAATATATATAAACAAATGAAGGGGTATTTATATGAGTTGTAGCTAAAAGGTATATAGGGATTCTTTTTTTAGGGCAGAGCTGAAAATGTACAGCTTATGATCACGGTAAGTTTGAATTATTGAACATTTTACTCCGGTAACAACATAAAACAAAGATTATATATTGTACTGAGCGGTGAGACCTTACGCTGTACATGTGTGGAAGCGAAAAAGTTGATTGAAAACGTATATTTTGAGTAGCGTCTCGAGACACTCCCGAGTTTCTGAAGATGTTTTAAGAGTTTCAGTGACTCCCTCAGGCCTCGAGTAACAGGAGAAGGAGCGGGAACTTGTGATGACTGGTGTAGGTGTTGCCATAGTGCCTCAGATGACACACTGGTCCCGCGGTGTTGAGTCTTATTTGCTCGGTAATATTTCTCCCTTGAGTATTAATATATTCATAGTTTTCTGTGTTGTGTAGTTCGGGGCTGCGGTGGTTTGTCGGGACCTCCTGTTGTTTTGTTTTATTTAGTATCCATATCGTTGTAAATATTATGAAGTGGACGTGTGGTTGAGTGAGAAAGTGAAGATGGAAATTAAAAAAAAGTGTCTTGTCTTAGCTTAGTAATTGGAAATGTTGTGTTCAGTTGTTACGAGAATTAATTGGTTCTTAACGTTACCTTTGTAGTGAAACGTGACGTTAAGTATCAGTATGCTGTGTGACCTTGATGGGTATTCGGTAAAAATAATGTGCTCTATTGTTAATTGGAGGTGTCCTGCCCACAGGTGTGCAATGTGTGTTATTCATATTTATATGTTTGATGTAGTGAGATAAAGAAGATAGTGAGATAGAGAAGATAGTGTTCAGGGATGTAGTGAGATAGATGTGGTAGTGTTTAATGAGATAAAGAAAACAGTGTTAGTGAGATAGTGTTTCGTGATGTGTGTTTCCCAGACTCACTGTTGTCTCTCTCCCTTAGGTGTACAACTTCCTGCCGAGCATCAGCGCGGTGACGGGCGTGTCCCCTCAGCGGTACCTGTGGCGTGTTGCTGTGGCGCTGCACATCTCCCCTCGCCTGCTGGTGGCGTGGGTGGCCCGCGCCTACTACACCACCCTGGCCCCCCACGTGCCCGCCGCCCGCCGCCCAGCCTACATGACACTGGTCGCCGCAGCCTTCTACCTCAACCTGACGGAGCTGGCCACGCTCTGTGGGGTCACCTACATCTCCAACAAGGAGAACTACCGTGAGTACCTGCCCGGGGTCAACAGTGGGGGCAAAGGTCGAAGTTATTTGACCTACCTTGGGTCAACAAAGTAGTGTTAGTTACAAGACTAGTGAGGTTATCCTAAAACTATATCTTGTGCTTGTGAGACCTCACTTGGATTACGCTGTTCAGTTCTGGTCACCGTATTACAGAATGGATATAGAATCTCTAGAAAGCTTTCAGAGGAGGAACCTTGAATACAGAGACAGATTAAAGCATCTTAATTTGCACTCCCTCGATAGACGTAGAGTGAGGGGCGATATGATAGAGGTGTATAAATGGAAGTCAGGGCTGAACAAAGGTGATATAACAAAGGTACTCAAACTATCCAACCAGGAGCGAACTCGTAACAATGGTTTTAAATTGGACAAATTTAGATTTAGGCTCGAGATAGGTAAACACTGGTTTAGAAATAGAGTAGTGGATGAGTGGAGTAAGTTACCGAATCTCACCGTTAACTCGATCACGCTGGGTACCTTCAAAAATAGGCTGGGTGGATATATGAGCGATAGGGGTTGGGTGTAAACGGGACTGCCCAGTATGGACCAATATGTTCTTAACAGTTTGAATAACTCGGGTCAGAGGTCACGTAACATTACTAACAAGAAAAACTTACCTAAGGGACTCAAAGGTCAGGTATTCCAACACACACACACAGTACCAACCCACGAATCACCATTGTACCCTAAGTGAGGTTCGATCAGGCACAAGTGAGAAGTAACATACCAGCGAGTCACTACACTGGAGGGTAACCTGTCACCAGTACCCTCCCCCCTCGTGCTGTACACCCTCAGTATTGATCCCAAGACGATTCACACCCGAGTCTCTCCCTCAGCTTAGTTAAGGTAGAGTCTTGGCGAAGTGTTGATGCCATAGTGATAAAATTTCACTTACGGTTATAATTTGTTAGTCAGTTACGATATATTCAGTTGCTGTTGGAAATCTGAAGATGCGAATATTTGAGAATCTATGTCCAGGTTGGGTGCGTTCACAGGGAGTTAGTTATTTAATTAAAGGGAATTGGATTCTAATTAAAGAGAGTTAAAGATTAATTAAAGGGAGTTATTAGGCCAAAGGAAGTTACAGAACCTCTCGCAGGGTTCCCTCATTACCACCACCAAAGGTTCCACTCTCCCTCCTGTTAAACACCCCAGTGGAGTATCCCCCCCCCACCCTCTCTCTATGAGCAGGATGGCGGCCATAACGTGTATAACTTTGTATAATATAGACTATGACTCATTCACTGTGTATAACGATAAATAGTGTATATATTTGAGTGATATTTATGTTGTATGATAAACTAAGCGGTATAAAGTTATTAATTAAGTGGTTTGTTATTATTATTTTTGTTAACATAATACCAAGTATAATGTTACGTAATATAGCCAATATCGGGAGTCGGTCTTTAAATCGGGAATCGGTTAAATCGGCAAAGGTAAGCAATTCGGTGGGTAGATTGAAATAGGTTCGTGTTTATATCGATTTACAGGATGTTGTTAATAGGGTGAAAATGACCTCTTGTGTGTGCTGATTAAATGTAAAATAGAGGTAATATGATCATCTCTGTGTGTGTGTGTGTGTGTGTGTGTGTGTGTGTATGTGTATGTGTGTGTGTGTGTGTGTGTGTGTGTGTGTGTGTGTGTGTGTGTGTGTGTGTGTGTGTGTGTGTGTGTGCGATATAATGTATTTAAAGAGTAATTGTAATGTGGAAATATATTTAGCTGCTTAGGATTTAGTGAAAGAAAATAGGCGTGTGTTTATATACAGTTTACATGTATTAAAAAAACAAACAAATCTTGCGGGTAAGTATTTGAGTTTCTCAGTGGCAGAGAAAACGAGGATCAAATATTCTTATTTATACAGAACAATATTTGACTTACTTAACGCCAGAGAAGATCAGGTATATACGCCTTTATATACCAAGGAAATATCTTCTTATGGATGAATATTTGACTTAATGCCAGAGAATACGACCAGGATATATTATGATCTTGTTATCATTGTATCCCACTTAGGGAAAATTGCAACATGGAACACCCTCTCGACTCCTGTGTGCCTCCCTTCCTCCCTTCTCCCTTCCTTTGTCCCTCCCTACCTTGTCCCTCCCTTCCTCCCTTCCTCCCTACCTTGTCCCTCCCTTCCTCCCTTTTCCCTTCCTTTGTCCCTCCCTACCTTGTCCCTCCCTTCTCCCTTCCTCCCTACCTTCCCTCCCTTCCTCCCTTCTCCCTTCCTTTGTCCCTCCCTACCTTGTCCCTCCCTTCCTCCCCTTGTCCCTCCCTCCTCTCTCCCTCCTCTCTCTCTCCCTCTCCCTCCTTCTCTCTCCCTCCCTTCCTCTCTCCTCCCTCTCTCCCTCTACCTTGTCAGTGTCTGCTGCTGCTCTCATAGTGAAATACGTAATTTATTGAATTAGAGACAATTGAATCCCATTAGAGAGAGGATCAGTATGTCTGGTCATAGGGTGAAAACGGCCACTATATCGTCTGTGATTCCGGCCGCCTGCTGGTGAGTTGAGGACGTGTTGGTGATAGTGTTGGTGCTGATCCTGTGTTGGTGTTGGAGGGTGTTGTTGTTGGTGCTGATCCTGTGTTGGTGTTGGAGGTTGTTGTTGTTGTTGGTGAAGGTTGTGATGGTGGTGGTGATGGTGGTGGTGATGGTGGTGGTGGTGATGATGGTGGTGGTGGTAGGTGTTGAGAAAGAAAGAGGGAGAGGAACACGTCAACACCTCCTCTCTCTCTCTCTCTCTCTCGGGTGTTTGGTATGTGTCAACGGTAGCGGGTCATTTCCATTCGTGTGTTAGGTTAGGTTAGGTTGAGTTAGCCCTGGTTGGATTATCATTTACATGTTATTGTTGTGGGAGGGTTATGTTGAGGTGTCTTCAGGAGGCCTTTAAGTTCTTGTCACCTGAGGACTTTTAACCAATTCTCGTGGTTTTGTTAATTAGTCGTGTTTTCGGTTCTTCTTCCTCTTCCTCTTCTTCTTCTTCTTCCTCTTCTTCTTCCTTCTTCTTCTCCTTCTTCTTCTTTCTTCTTGTGTGGTGGTGTGGCGTCTCTCACACACACACTACTCTCTGCCATTTCCACAGTCCTCCTCCCTCTAAGACCGCTCCGTTATCGCTATCCTCCTCCTCTTCCTCCGTCTATGCCGCTTTATCTCTGCATCTCTCCACCTTGTTCTTTATCTACCTCTCCTCCTCTTCCTCCTTCGTCTTCCTTTATGATCTCTTGTTTGCCTCCGTTTTTCACCTTAATGATGAGGTTTATTTAGACTTATGAGGCTTCTTGTCTTGGATGCAGAGTCTCAGAGAGTCTTATGTTAATTTACTTCTTCCAACTCGGATTATTTGAAGATTAGACACCATAACACTCTCTAGGGGATGTTTGATTAGGTTAAGCTAGGTTAGGTTAGGTTAGGTTAGGTTTGTGTGATGTTAGGTTAAGTTAGTGTTAGGTTAGGTTAGCGTTAGATTATGTTAGCATGAGGTTAATTTAGGTTAGCCTTAGGTTAATTTAGGTTAGTGTTAGGTTAAAATAAGTTAGGTTAGCGTTTGGGTGAAATAATGTCATGGAGGGGAGGGTAATGTTTATGTTCTTCAGATAATACACCAATGTTAATATGAGGATTTGGTACAGTTTATGTGTCTCTTAACCACACAGAGGAGGGAGAGGCTGGGTACTTGAGTGAGATCTTCAGCAGCATCAACGTTATATAGGAGTTAGTTAGGTGTGTGGGGCCCCTCACTTAACTGTATGTGAGACACTGCTGCCTACAGACATGTGTGTGTGTGTGTGTGTGTGTGTGTGTTACAGGCGGGCGTGAAGGACGGTGTGTGTGTGTGTGTTTGTGTGTGGGTGGATGTGAGGAAGGGTGTGGGTGTTAGTGTGTGTGTGTGTCATCGACCGCCTCTAGCAGCCGTCTAAAGTCCCCCACTAGTGCTACAAGGCAGTCTCTCTCTCTCTCTCTCTCTCTCTCTCTCTCTCTCTCTCTCTCTCTCTCTCTCTCTCTCTCTCTCTCTCTCTCTCTCCACTGTAATATGAGGCATTTTGACTCATAACTGTGAGGTGTTTACATGGTGTTCGTGTGTACTTTTGGGGTATACATATGTGTGTTCATATGTCTGTATCTGCGTCTGTGTCTGTTTTTGTGTGCGTTAGTGTTTGTGTAGAGACAATACCATCAATATGAAGAAAAAAACAAGGGTTCCAAGTTGTAATTTTAAACGACCTTTCACATGACCTCGCACACCTGGTCATGACTTAACTCTACCTGTAGCTAATGAGAGGTAAGAGGGGGAGACGGAGTACTGTACTGGCCACTATTACCTGTCAGCGATTGTAATACATTAGTAATTTATGGGTGAAGACAATAACACTAATTACATTTGTGTTAGTCAAGAGGTCAGGTCAGGTCAGGTCACGGGATCAGGGATGGCTAGATACTGTTCTCGAGACGGTGGTGTGTGTGTGTGTGTGTGTGTGTGTGTGTGTGTGTGTGTGTGTGTGTGTGTGTGTGTGTGTGTGTGTGTGTGTGTGTGCACTGAATAAGTCTTCTTCAGATAAGTCATTGTTTTTATGTGTTTATGTAAAATATATATATTAATTTATTACTTTATTTTCAACTGTTGTGGACATTTTATAGGTGTAACTTATAAAGGTAATCTGATCGGGGATTACTACCTTAAAAACCCTATATAACCATGATCATCTCGCCTTCCCATGTGGTTAGATTAGATGGGTGTGGTCGCCGGCACAGACTGGTTGAGATAGGACAGATATAACTACCTGTAGATTACCTCCCCCTTCAGTTCATCTGATGATTAAACCCCCTGATGCTATCTGGGGTAAGTAGGTTAGGTTAGGTTAGGTTAGGTTAGGTTATCATGAGGTGATATAAGCTGGGAGAGTAAATCTTCAGGTGATACAAGATGAATCTTTTCGTTTCTTCATATAGAGTATTTAAGGTTCAGTTATATTCTTTTAATG